TAAGGTACATTTTCTATAAAAGAAAATCTAATCTCAGTTCACTGAGGTATTTTTTCCTGCCTCAGTAAGTGAGGTATATTCAGATCTTGAAGAACTGATGGGGATGAAGATGAAGAACTATGGGAAAAACCGCAGTTATTGAGGCGGTTTTTCCCATAGAAAATATCTGAACTTTATATCTGAGATATATTTGTTTCTATATAAAAATTGACTTCAATGTCTATAGACATATTTTATGGCCAGTTAATTAGGATTTTTTCTATTAAAAATCTATACTGACTGTGTTGGAATTTATTTATGAAAACTATTTCCTATTTCCCACAAACGAAAAAAAACTAGGCCAACCAAATAACCCAAAAACCAAAATAATAATTTATTCGGTTATTGTTTGAACTCTAAACAATATAACCTACTATATATACATATATAACAATAAAAGCAAAAACAATAATAACAAAAACAATAAAACAACAACAACAACACTTAATACCTATTTTTTGTACTCTACACAACATCGATATGGTGGCGGCGGCTTCTCTCTCACCTTATCTAAACGATAAGATTTTCCAAATACCACGGGTGAGCTGGTTAGAAAAAAATGCTAGACAATAACAAAAACAACAACAAAAACATGAAAACTACAACAAAATTGGCTTTATTTGCGATTGTTTGTTTTGTTGTTGTTGCTGTTACTGCTGCTTTGAGTTGCAACAGGTGGAGAGAATACATAAAAGTGAAACAGAAAAAAATATAAACAAATAAAAAAGCTAAAAATAACAACGACAACAAAAGATATGCAATGCATGCTCTCTATCCGACGACCGATCAACCACTTTAGTTCTGGTGATAGATACGCTTATTCTTCTACCAAGTTTTTTTTCTTTTACCTTATTTTTATTTTACTTTTGCTTTTTTTATACGATTTTTTTTTTTTGATTTATTTTATCATCCAAGCGGTTTCTTAGTTTATATCTTAAAATAACGAGCGCACTTGGTATTACACAACGTTTTGATTTACGCACTATTTTCAATTAGAAAAAAACTTTAAAGCCAAGACACGGCATCGTAAATATAAATATATATGCAGTGATGACGTACAGTGAAGAGCAAAAGTGATTTTTATTAGTAAAAATAGATTTTTTAGGTGGTTTTGTTGGCTTTGAAGAAGAAAAAAATTAATAAGGGTGTGTTTCTGAATCAAGTTACAAAGGGGTTAGTTGTTCACCATCCAGTACAAAAAAGAATTTTTAAATAAAAAAATCTTCCTTGTTCTGTAAAAATCGGCCCTTAGTAACGAATAGAAAACAATAGGTCATATCAAGCTGTGTTTTTTAAGAAAAAATCCCCCTCTATGTTGACCTCAGGACCAATAGTTTTTTCCATTGAAGAAATTCTCAGGACCGAAGAAAAAAATTCTCAAAGCCCAAGGACCTCAGTACGAACTGAGGTCTGCATTTTTTTTACTCACTTAGCTGGCTTGTTACATAACGGTTGTGTTCCATAAGCCGAGCTTAAAAAAGATTTCCAAGCGCGTCGATCAAATCCACCAATTTGGTCTTTCCATCTAATTCGTGGCCTTCTCCTTCTACGGGAACCATCAGTCGCTTTTACATGCCTTTTGAGCTGGGGCATTCTCATTCATTCGCACAACATAGCCTAGCCACCGTAGTCGCTGCATCTCAATACGACTGACTATGTCGATGACCGCGTATAAGTTGTAAAGCTCGTGGTTCATTCGACGCCGATATTCACCGTCGACGCAGATCGGCCCCTAGATCTTTCGGAGAATTTTTCTTTCAAACACCCCAAGAGCTGCCTCATCTGCTTGCGCAAATACCCATGCTTCAGATCCATATAACAGCAAGGGTAGTATCAGCGTCTTGTAAAGTGTCAGTTTGGTCTGGTGGGAGGTGGCCTTGTTTCTAAACTGCTTACTTAGACCATAGTAGCATCTGTTGACCACCACAATCCTCCTCCGAATTTCAAAACTGATGTTTTATTTATGGCGGTACCAAGGTGTATATAATCATTGACTACCTCGAAGCAGTAGTTCTCAAGGTCCACAGTTGGTCCGAGTCTACTGGACGTCTTGCGCGTTGATACCATCAGCTTGGTCTTTTCACCGTTTACTGCCAGACCCACTTTGGCAGACTGCTTTTCAATTTGTTCAAAGGTGGATTTTATCGCTCGCAATGTTCGACCCAATATGTCCATGTCATCGGCGTAGGCGAGTAACATGTGTTGTTTGGTGTACAGAGTGCCATGACCTTTACCAGCAGGATGTTAGAAAGATCACACGACAAACTGTCACCTTGTCTCAATCCTCGTTCGGTATTGTAGGGCTCCGATAGGTGCTTTCCGACGTTAATGCTGACATTGTGCCACTTAAAATTATCCAGCATAGCCGTATTTAAACACCTCTGAACGGATAGGGCTGTCGAATGCGGCTTTATAGTCGACGAATAGGTGGAATGTGTGGATGTGTTTTTCCTGGGTCTGGCCAGGTCTGATGCCGCATTGGTATGGTCCAATAATGTCATTGACCATTTGCTTTAATCGTTCACACAGCACACTGGATAGTACTTCATATGCGATGGGAAGAAGGCTAATTCTTCTATAGTTGGCACATATCGTCTTGCCTCCTTTTTTGTGCACGGGACACAGGATGCTGAAGTTCCAATCATTGAGCATGCATTCCTCTAGCCAAATTGTACTAATCAGCCGAACTCTTCGGCTGGTAACCCATCGGCTCCTGCTGCTTTATTGTTCTTCAGCCGATTAATTGCTATTCTGACCTCATCTTGGCTAGGTGGTATACATTTTATGCCGTCATCTCTTATTGGTTCTGGGGTATCTTGTTCACCGCCACTATTTGATACCAGAAGCTTTTCAAAATGCTTCTTCCAGATCACCAACACGCTGTCTGTAACATTCACCAGGCTTCCTTCTTCATCTCCACAGGAGGATGTACCTGCACCAAAACCTTCGGTTTGGTGTTTTCTCGTTGGTAAAATTTTGGGACTTCATTCTGACTTCTGTACATCTCGATTTGCTCACGCTCACGTTTTTTTGTTCTTTCTTCTTTTTTCTGAAAATATGTTTCTCCACTCTCCTTTTCTCCTTATAATTCTCCATAACATTACGTGTTGCTACTGTCTGCAGGGTTGCCCTTTACGCTGCGTTTTTCACATCGGTAGCATTACGACACTCCTGATCGTACCATGGGTTTATTGGTGGTGGTGTTTGTTACCCAAGTGTTGCTTTTGCTGCTGTATGTAGGAAGTGGGCAATTCTTTGCCATTGTGCTTCTATACTATCAAGGGTCAAAAGGGGTGCTTCGTCAAACAGTTGGGTAAGTTGAGCAGAGTAGGCCTCGGCTACCTGTTGTGTTTGTAGCTTTTCGACGTCGAGTTTCCGTGTTGTGTTAGATCACACCTTTGCTGCAACATTAAGACTAATCTTGGCTGCTACAAGGTAGTGGTCCGAATCAATATTCGCTCCTCTGATCGATCGAACGTCTAATACACTGGATGAATGCCTTCCGTCTATCACAACATGATCAATTTAATTTCTCGTTGCTTGATCAGGAGAAATCCAGGTGGCCTTGTGTATATCGACATGCTTGAATCTGGTGCTGCTAACTACCATGTTTTTTGCTGCCGCGAAGTCAATCAACATCATGCCATTGTCGAATGTTTCTTTATGAAGACTGAATTTTCCGACTGTGGGGTCAAAAATATTTTCCCTTCCGATTTTTGCATTGACATCTCCTAGTTTCTAGGCGCTCGTAAAATATGTCTTTGATTTGCTCATCTTTGTCTTCGGTCGGAGCATGGGCGCAAATAAGAGTGAAAATTTCTCTATATTAGGAAAATAGGCCCCGATATAAGCGTCACACTTAATTTTCGACATAATCTAGGTCCTAGCTAAACATGAGCTTCCTCCTTGAAGTTCTAATCGATTTTAGCTATTTTGAATGTCCATCTCATGGAGAAGGGTATGAATAGTTTGGTAGGTGGAAATTACGATTTTTTACTTTAGTTCTATATATATATATAAAAAATTGAAAAAAGATTTGTTCTTTTTGAAAAACCTTTTGCTCGGTTGGGTAGCTATTTTTCTATAGAATCTTTTAGTACTTGGGTCAGAAATACACATTTTATTTCTTCAATTTCAAAAATAATATACTGCTCAATTTGTTAAAAATGCAAATGTTTGGAAGATAACGACCTCAGAATTTCCGATTTATCGATTTTATATGATTTACCGAATAAAAAATATTCAAAATTCTAACATAACCTCTGAAAACTAAATAATATACATATTTGTCCATTGAATTTTGATTAGTCGATTTCAAAATTTCGTCCACACTGAAAATTGTTTTAACATTCTGGTTAAATTCGGAATAATCAAGGTTCAATATAGGTGTTTATTTTTAATAAAAATATTAAAATATTCTTATATTAATAATTTATTATTATTTTCCCATAAATTATATTTCTTTCTCTCTTTTTTCGTATACGCACCACAATCTATGGCACCCACGAAATACAAATATCGTAAAACATCAACAACTTAACTACAACAACAAAAACCAAAATTCACGTAAAAATAATTTTAATTAATACAACACCTCATGTTTCAAAATTAATGGCAAATATCCTATGTGGCACTCTATTATTTTTGCACACAACAAAAAAATCAATCTATCAATTTGTTTATGTGTCTTTGTGTGTGGGATTTTTATGTTAACAAATCAATTTAACCATCTCACCATGTGTGTGTGTGTGCAAAAATATATATATCATCACCAAAAAAACTATTCCCACGCTATTTTGGGTCTATTTTTTCACGGTAACACCACGCTGATACAACACCGACAATTCCGCAACACCACCATCATCACCACACAACGTTGTTACGTATCATCCTTATTTGTGCCGGGTTGGGGGCTTATCTCGTTGCATCAAAAAACAACGAACACAAACACACACGAACAGATTTTCCACCCGGTCAACTTTATCGATCAAGTGAGAAATTCGATTCAACGGAATTCCATCAATACCAACAACAAGGTTAGCTTTAAGTTTTTTTTTATTCCCCTGCTGCCGTCTGTAATTCGAACAGCATTTAAAAAACGAACGTACGCATGTTGCCTTACAAGCAAGCCTATTAAATTAATTATTTGCATTTTGTTTTTCACTCAAATCCTTTAACTTTATATGCAATTATAATAAATTGATTTGTTGTTATTTTTTCCCTCAATAACTTCCACAATCCCAAAAACCAAAAAAAGAAAAACAACAATAAAAACTGTAACAACAAATTGGCTGCACACATACGTCCTTAAATTATCCTTTAACAAGCGCTCCAATTTTTTTGCTGCCTACCAGTAATTGCATTATTTTTGCCCTATTTTAATTTGCCTGCATTTGCCAGTGTCCTTGCATTGCTGAACAATCCCTTCAACCTCCTTTCCTTTTCTATATGATTGTCGTATGTGTGTGTGTGTGTGCTTTTTTTTGAGAATCTGTTGCATGTAAAGTAAGTGTGTGTGTGTGCGCCTGAGAGTGTTTGTGTTTTTTTTTTCTGCTTGCAACACAGCAATTTAATCAATTAAATTAACAAAACCAAATTAACTCTATCCATATCGAACGTCACTACTGATATATCCTTCTATCCTTTGATTGCCTGTTGATAGTTGCGATTGATTTTTCTGGAAATTTATCAACTTTACTTTTGAATTTTTAAAAAGGATTTTCTGAGAATCAGGATTACTAGCAAATTTTATTTTTTGTGGTAGTTCTTAGTTCTGCGTATGAATGGCAATTCTTTCCAGGAAATGGGAATTTTTGCAATGATATGTTTGTACAATTGTAGGCAAGTGTGAAGGGGAATGGGGAGTTTAATTTCTCTACAAAATTCCCAATTCTAGCTAAGACGACATTTTTGTAAACCATGCGTAAACATTATTTTGAGAAAAAAAACGATTTATATCAATGATATTTCTTGAATAAAACTTTTAAAGAAAATCACGCCAACAAATTTGAAAATATAGTCCTGAAAAACCCCAGAACATGGAATGTCGAATTTAAAAAATTTCTGGAAACTTTCTTGTCTTTGAAAAAAACGAAAGCTGGCCAAAAACATCCTCTTGGAAATGGAGGAGGAGCTATGATTTTTAAAACAACAAATTCTGTACTCAGTTCCCAGACGATTTTTTTAAAAAAAAATCTGATAGCAGATAGCAGAGAATTTTTATACAAAAATTCCGTTACCAAAGGCTTTTCTTTATACAAAATTCTACTCAGTTCCAAAACGATTTTTTATCGAAAAAAACTGTTCTCAACTTCTCAGGCATTTTTTCAATCCCAGAAGATTTTTTTTCTCAATTTTATTTAAGTTCCTTTGGAAAAACATTCTACAGGTCTCTCTTTTTGAAAGGATCAGTGGTCTAAGGGTGGACATTTTGAAAAGACATATCGGAGGTCTTATAGAGCATTTTTTAAAGGAATATCAGAGGTCTAGACGTGTTTTTTTAATGGAATATTAGATTTTTAAGATGTCAAGGCTTTCATTAAAGATTTTTTCCTCAGATTTTTTGTTGTTAAACAGTCGATCCTGTGTTTCTAGAAGAATTGAACTTTCCTCAGTTCCCAGATAAGTTTTTAGAAACAACATATGTCCTTCGTTCCGAAAGAATGGTTTTTTTTTCTTTGCAAAATAGTCAGGCTATAAAAAACAACTATTTTTATAAAAAAAAAAACAACTATTTATTGACCACGAAGTCAGGCGCCAACGAAATGAACTTCTCATTGAGATTTTGCAAAAACAAAATATAATGGTATCCCAAATAACCCGCCAACATTACTGAAATGTTTTTTTCTTTTTTATAAAAAAAAATTACTGACTATTTTGCAAAAACAAAATACAAATGGTATCCCAAATAACCCGCCAACATTACTGAAATGTTTTTTTTTTTTTTATAAAAAAAATTTACTCGGTTCTCAGAAAAAATCTGTAGTCAATTTACTAAGGATTTTTTCTTAGTACAAGAACCATTTAGAACAATTCAGAGGAATGTTTTTATGAGTTTCGGGGATAATTTTTATACAAAAAATTGTCCACTGTAGGATTTTTCTTTTCAGCCTCAGAAGAATTCTTTTTTGTCTTCAAGTTGTTCTTAGTTCAATGCGAACGTTTTTCTCAGTTCCAGAATTTATCTTCTATGGAACAAATGCCTGTAAAATTCTGTCGCAAACGTCTGAGATTTTTTCTGCCACACTGTAAACGTTATACACAAACATTTGATAAAAGCAGCTGATGTATTTCCTTTCAAAGAAATCTGCTTTCAGGCTGAAGTTTTTTTTGTCTGTGGTCACGGTGCTTTAAAACATTTATTAAAGTCTTTTTCAAAATAAACAAAAAAATACGTTTAGACCTCTGATAGTCCTTTTAAAAAATTCACGCTTCCTTTTCGAAAAAAATCACGCTTTATCCTCTGATAGTCGTTTTCGAAAGAATTCACGCATAAACCTCTGAAAGTCCTTTTCGAAAAAAAAAAAATCCACTCTTAGACCACTGATAGTTCTTTAATCAAATTCACTCTTAGACTATTGATAGTTCTTGCAAAAAAACAAAGCTTAAGCCTCTGATAGTCCTTTTTAAAAATCCACGCCTAGACCAATAACAGTCCTTTAAAAAAATCCACTCTTAGACCTCTAATAGTCCTTTTAAAAAATACATACTTAAGCCCCTGATATTATTTTTAAAAAATCCAAGCCTTGACATCTTAAAAATCTGATATTCCATTAAAAACACGTCTAGACCTCTGATATTCCTTTAAAAAATGCTCTATACGACCTCCGATATTTCTTTTCAAAATATCCACTCTTAGACCACTGATCCTTTCAAAAAGAAAAAAATCCACGTCTAAACATATAATAGTCCTTATATAAAAAATTAGCTCTTTGACCTCTGATACTCTTTAAAAAAATGCACGCCTAGAAAAATGCTCCCCTAGTCGTTTTAACAAAAATCCACTCTTCGACCTCTGTTAACCCTTCTAAGAAATCCACACTAAGACCTCTGGTAGTCCTTTTAAAAAATACACGCTTAGACCTCTGGTAGTCTTATTCAAAATTCCACACTTAAGTCTTTAATATTCATTTAAAAAAAAATCCACGATTAGATCTCTGATAGTCCTTACATTATATTTTTTCTAACATCCTATCTTAAACCTCTAATAACCCTTTATAATAAATATCAACAAATCCACGCTAAAAGCTCTGATAGTACTTAAAAAAATCCAAGCTTAGACCTCCTTTCTGATACGAACTTCTTTGGAAAATCCACAAGTTTAGTTCTTGCAAAATATTCTTTAAAAACAGCTGTAATTAGGAAATAGGAGGTAGGAAATATCTCAAAATGTACTAACATATTATTTTATTTTCAGAGAAAACTACATATGTCAGAAAAAACAATCCACACATTAATGTCAACCGTAAATTAAATTTGAGTACCATTTAGAAAAAAATTTTATGATTCGTGCTCTAAAGGTTCACCCAAATTTTCCATTTGGCACACATTATTTCCATAAGTGTCCTCCTCAACCACCTAACTAAACTTCCTGCATACCCCGATTCTATACCCCCACAATGATTCCAAATTAAAATTTCAGGGTTCCAACTCTATTAATTCACCCACTATTAAAATTGTACCGAATTTAGTAGTAGAATTTCCAAAACTTCCTACTTAAACCAAAGCTACACCACGACAGTGATTCTGAATCCAAGTTTCAGGATTCCAACTCCATAGGTTCACCCACAATTCAAATTGTACCAAATTTGGTACACAGTAGTTTGAATTTCCAAAACCTCTTACTTACCCCAAACTTACACGATTCAAATTGAACCAAATTTAGTACACATTTCTAAAACTTCCTACATATCTCAATCTTACACCTCAACAGTGATCCTGACTCCAAATTTCGTGATTCTAGCTCTATTGGTTCACCTAAAATTCAAATTGTACCAAATTTAGTACCATTTAGTACCCAAAAGTATTATTTTCTTAAACTGAATCCTGACTCCAATCCCACACCCCTACAGTGATCCTGACTCCAAATTTCATTGTTCCCGCTCTATAGGATAACCCAAATCCAAACTGTACTGATTATAGTACGATTTAGTACTTTTCGTACTGATAAGTAACAAATTTCCAAAATTACGTTCATATCCCAATCTTACACTCCGACGGTAATTTTAATTTCAAATTCCAGTATTCCAGCTCGATTTGTATCTCCAAATTAAATTTGTATCAAATATAGTACCATATAGTACTTTTCGTACACATGAGTACACGCTTTCAAAACAATATCCTTAAATGGACCCTACTTCTCAATCTTAATTCTCACTCCAAATTTCAGGTTTTTAACGCTATCCGTTCACATGCTGTACATTTTCGTACTTTTCGGATAGTTATAGTTCGAATTTCCAAAAACCCTTTGGTACATCTATCCTACACTCCATTAACGACCACCAAACCAAATTTCAGAATTCTAGCTCCACCGGTTCGCCAAATACAAATGTCATCACATTTCGTACTTTTCGTGCCGTTCTAGTATGAATTTCCAAAAACCCAGCCTTATTTGTCAGATTTGGAAAAGGGTTGACCTTCATTCAATCAGTCAGCCTCATCGTTAAATCAGTCAGTTAATCAGTCAGTCAGTCAATCACTTTACTCTTTTATTAGTATAGATAAATATTCATTACAAAATTCAAGCTTCTGCCTAATGGGATCCTTAGGCATTATTTTTTTAAAATGGAAAACATATTCTTCGAAAATAAACGTCTACGGCAAAAATTCTCAGAAATATTTGAAATATTCTTTAAAATGTCCAAGTTAGTCCAAATATATGCGTATATGGCTATCTTTAAAAATATACTTAGAAATATCAACGACCTCCTTTGAAAATATCGTCCTTTCAAAATCCACAAAAGTGACAACGATATCCATTGAAAACTATTCCATAAAAAATCAAGTTTGTGGCTGTGACGATAGTCCTTTTAAAACA